GGGGGGGCTGATGGGAAGCGGTCTTTTGCACAAGTGATTAGCTTGAACAGGTGACCTAATTAATCACATTAGTGGGATCAATATTTAATACTGTTTCGTTCTTTCCCTTCACAGTGCATCGTTTGTTGAAAGATTCTGACAACTAGGAACAAGGGAAGGAGTATGAGGAAATTCATTTTGAGGACTTCTTGGGAGGAAGGAAACCCTTTGTTTTACTAGAGCAACTGTGTAAGATCAAGACTATTAACTCCTCCGAAGTTTCACCCATGGATTTGAGGATACTTAAGGACACCAGGAGCATCTAATTGGTTAACAGGTAAACACAGCTTCAAAGCCTGACTCACTCGATAAGTATTCTTGTTTTCCAAGAACCTTTTGTCGTCCCTCCTCCACCCCCCCTCCCACACACACACTCCTTTCACCAAGCCCCCCCCCCTCTCTCAAAGGAAAGGATACTTGACAATGAAGTATCCCTTAATGTCGCTTGAAGTATAAAGTGAAAACCTTCAGAAAAAAAATTTAGATAACTTCTTCTTCGGCACGACCTGCCCTTACTTTTGCAGCTTGAAAGATAAAGAGCATTCACTTTCTTTGCTTTATATTCTTTGCTTGATTTTCTCCCAGTATGGCAAACGTGCAACTCGTCAGCTGCCTGTGCCTTGTTTTGTAGGCCTAACATAACAAAAAATACCCTTTTTACTAATTTCAAACTTAGGTCGCACTAGCAAGAAGTTACTTCCGTGCGTACTTCGTTATGTCATGTCAGTGTCCCACGCATTTTCTCTACTACCTTTTAACTAGTTGTGTGATTCAAGAAGAGTTTTGCCGTGGCCTTGGATTTGCATTTCTAGTTCTTAGGTGGTTCGTTTATCTGTATGTTGATATCGCTAAAGGGCCTGTGCCATAACAACGCAGAGCGGTTTTCAGCGTGTTGTTTCTGGGTATCCACATCTGTGAACAAGTCGATAAGGGGAAAAGAATGCAAGGTGCCTCTCTAACTTTGTGCAGATAGTGCCTCTGAGGAGGAAAGATGATTCACAACTTTTGGATTACCCTCTCTTTCAAAAGTAGCACGAGCAAAATATAAATCAACTCACTCAATTTGAAATTAACGAACATAGATCTACAGTTTGTAGTTTTCGAATGTAAAAAAAACCCACACACAATCTAACGACAGCACTGAGATTGCTGTGTTTAATCATTTTTTTTTCTGTTTAGTATTTATTGAGAAACGGTAATATTTCGCAAAAATTGTCTACTAATCTTTTTTTCTTCAGAAAGATACATAAATATATTAACCTTTAGATAACTTCGTATTTGTGCATGGGTTGTGTGCCTCTGTTTCCAAGTTACGTAAAAAATAGTCCCTGTATATCTCCAAAGCGGAACATCAAATGATCCTAAAAATGAAGTACAAAAGGACTTCACAGGTTGCATTCTGATCAAACGTTGACTCAAAGTGCAAGTGGTTAAGCTAATCCCACGCAATGCCTTTTCTTTCTTTGTGCCTTTTCCTCTCCCAACTATTAATCAATTAATCCTTCCCCTATCGCTCTCTTTCTCTCTTTCTCTCTCTCTCTCTCTCTCTCTCTCTCT